CCAGGTAGTGTGGTATGTTCCAAAGAGAGCCAGGTGACGTGGCATTTTCCAAAAGGAAGCAGGCAGTATGGTATATTTATTTTATAAAAGAGGCAGGTGGTGCAGTATATTCCATAAATGAGGCAGGTAGCATAGTATATTCCATAGAAGAGGCAGGCAGCGTAGTACATTTCATAAAAGATCCAGGCGGCGTAGTATATTCCATAAAAGAGGCAGATGGTGTGGAATATTCCATAAAAGAGGCAGGTTGCATGCTATATTCCAGGAGGAGAGAGGTAACGCAGTATATTACAAAAAAGACACAGGCAGTGTAGTATATTCCAAATAAGAGGTAGGTGTTATAGTATATTCCAAAGAAGATGCAGGTGGCTAGCATATTCCCAAGAAGATGCAGGCAGTGCTGTAGATTCCAAGAAGAGGCAGGCAGTGTAGTAGATTTCCATATGGGCCAGATGGCAGGCAGCAGCCCTGTCACAATAGCAAATGTTGCATGAGCATCTACCATATCACTGCTGTGTCTCTATATTCACATAATAGACAGTAGCTGCCATCAGAGAACCAAACCGTATGTATGCCCCTTTCTCGTGTTTGTTTCCATAAACACAGAAATAAAAAAAAAGAAGCAGAGGCCACGAAGGTCCTTTTAAGGCCTAAATGCTATAGTTATTACTTATCCACTGGTGAAAATGATACTCTGATACAGGTCTTATAGGGGAGCAAGCTGGGGGGGAAGTGCATTGGTTACTCCTACATGAAGGAGAAAGAAAGAGACATGGAGTTCATTTGGACTTAAAATTGAACAAATCTTTGGACAAATATTTGGGACTTCCTTCAAAATCATCAACCCAGAGAAGGGATGATGGTAAGTTTTGTACTAGCTCTTCAACTGTGGCCTACACTTAGCAATAAATAATTGTGCCTTCCAGTTTGAGGTTCTACTGGAGGGATTATTTTGTATTTTAAGAAACTACCTGACATTGCAGAGATGTGTACCACCTTGGCCTCTAATGACAGGGCCCAAGAAGAAACTTATTTTGCATTGAAATCACTTTCCAACATAAAAGGGCACGGAGGAGCAGAGGCTGCGCCCAAGTGGCTCTAGGCTGCTCAGTACTACATTGCCCTTTGCTCTTTCTCATCAGGTAGGATGAGGGAGAGAACTGGAAATGAAATAGAAACCATGGACTGATATATGAACTATTTACCACAAATGGAGAGGAAAATGGTGTCAAAAACACAAGTATTCACCACTTACTAACCAACGTACTGCTGATCAAGGCCCAGAACAGCAAAAATGCTAACCAGCAGCGCCAACTGCTATCCAGAAGCCTCAACTGCTCCAAATGCTAACCAGCTGCTCCAACTGCTATCTAGCAGTTCCAGCTGCAATCCAGCAGCCCCAAGTGCAGTCCAGCAGCTCCAGCTGCTATCAGGCAGGCCTAAGTGCAATCCAGCATTTAAAACTGCTATCCAGCAGCCCCAACTGCTAACCAGCTGTTCCAAATGATAACCAGCAGCTCCAGCTGCTATCCAGCAATTCCAACTGCTATCCAGCAGCCTCAACTGCTAACCAGCTGCTCCAAATGCTAACCAGCAGCCCCAGGTGCAATCCAGCAGTGCCAACTGCTATCAGGCTCAACCCAAATTGCTATCCAGCATTTACAACAGCTATCCAGCAGCTCTAACTCCTATCCAGCAGCTCCACCTGCTAACCAGCTATGCCAGCTGCTATCCAGCAGCTCCAACAGCAGACCAGCAGTGCTGACTGCCAAGCAACTGCCTGCTGCCCATTATGGCATCTGCGTGGCCCCGGCCCTGCCCCCACTTGCCGCCCTCCTTGTCAGTGGCTCCACCCCATCCATTTGTGTGGTGTTAGCACCTCTTCAGCCGAATACAGGACTCTCCCTACCCCTCAGCCTGTGTCAGGGGCATTAGCACAGCTTGCCTCAGCAGTGCTCCTCAGACGAGGGCTGAAGGCAGATTGGGCTGGTTGTATAAAAAAAACATTCTTGTAGCACCCTGTCATGGAATTATCTCTAGATCTGTGTCCGTGACATGAGGTACAGGCCCGGAAAGAAAAAAAAAAAAAAAGAAAAATAGGGGGAAAAAAAAGTGTTAATGGTTTAGAGTCCAGTCTGGCCCAGCCCGACCCATTGACTAATTAGGCAGGGGGGACTTGTGGGTCTGTGCCCCAGGAGAGGGGAAAAGAAGGAAGGGTAGGGTGATAGTAGATGAGTCTAAAAACAGAGCAACAGCATTGATCTGAGTAGGAACATTAATTTACTAAATATGATCTCAGAATGCAAGATAATACAATACAACACAATACAACTGGAATAGAAACCAACAAATCAAAATGAGAGCAAGAGTGTCCAAAAGCGAGGCCTTACTCTACCACTGCAGGTGAAAGCAGCCAGAGGCCGTGTGCTCCTCCGCAACAAGCAAACAGACAGAGACTTGTGACCTGCCAGGAGCTCCACCTTTCTTCCTCTGGGCACAAAGTCCTCTGGTGAATGCCACTCCTCCCCTATTCCTCCAAGAACCAAACACCCAAAAAAGGCAGTCCACAGAACCAGAATGTGAACTCTTTAACTCCCGCTGCTTTACGTGATGTTATGCTGTGGAATACTAACAACAAAAATGTCACAAAACTACAACACGCCTGTGTGCTGCTGTTCTGTCTTCACCTATGGAACTGTGCCTCTGCTTGGTGTTAGGCAGTAATTCAGCCTTTAGCGAGGCCACCAGGCGTGCCTGAGCGATGTGGGGGGCAAGGAATGCAGTGCCTCTTGGCTTGAGGAGCCCTATCCCTCACCTCTGCTCTGTGTTTGCTCTGTGCCAGTGGTCAGCAGTGTGGTTGTTCTCAGCCTTTCTTCACATCTATAAGCGTTCTGATCATTTTCCTACGTGCAAGGACACTCAGAGGAGCAGAGGTTGGGTGCCAGTGGGCTCTATGATGTGGTGTAACCCAGCTGTCACTCAGGCCCACACCGTCCTTTGATCAGACTACCAAAGAGGGATGAGGGAGAGAATTGGAAATGAAATTGAACAAGTGGGAAGAAATAAAAAATATCTGCAAAGATGGAAGACAAAAAAGGAAACCAAAACACAGTAGTAACACTACATAAACCCACAATGCAATTAACACTTTTCAGCAACACACAGCAATAAATGGTCCACATTTCTTCACAGCCTAACCCAACTATACCCACCCAAATTTACCCCAATCCAGAACAGTGATGAATCGTAGGCTTTTATTAATTACTTATTAATTAT